ATTTTACCTATGGAATAAATAATCTTTGACTTTGACTTTGACTTTGAATAAAATTATACGAAAGATAATGGGAGAATACGGGAAGAATGAAGAATATTCATTTTTCTTTTTCTCCGACTCACATTGTTGGGGCAGAAAATTATGAAATGAATGTGGTCGAGCAGAGGCTATTCGGGGCTGGTTACAGATTTATGTTATTAAGTTTTAGAAATTTGTATAAAGTGAATACTAGTGGAGAGTGTGCGTTGGCTAGGAAATAGTTGATATTTATTGGGCGAGGAATATTTTCGGGAAGCAAATCGTAAAATGGAAAGCTTATTATGGCATGGTTATGGCTCTGGAAATACTTCTTTTTTTTTTCTTAATGAATGGCTTGTGAGACTACACTGCGTCAATTCTGCCAATGTCCGTCACAGACTACTTAGTGAATGGTGTCCGTTTTCTACTTTCATAAACGTTATGGAGGGTGTGTTAGAATTTTGTTCGGTGACTCAGAGGGAGAACCGAAGAGATTTTTGCACAAATTGAATTCTAGAACAAAGGAGACGGCACAAATTAGACAACACAAGTCGTTAGAAACATGTATATATGTTAAATATAGTGTTAGTGCATGAATAATATTTACAGTTTAATATGATTTACATGTATGAATTTAAAAGGAATATGATACATTTTTGGGTGAGAGGATAGGGCCAAAAGGCAATTAAAGGAAGTAGGGCGAGGGATAGAGGGAGGGAGGATGTCATATAGGGAACACAGTGTTGGGCAAAATTTAATTGTTCTGGCAATTAAAGATTGACAATTGATTAATTGTCAATTGCGAAACAGCAATTAACGATTGATCAATTGTTAGTTGCGAGAACCGCAATTAACAATTAATCAATTGTTAGTTGCGATAGTTTTCGCAACTAACAATTGATCAATCGTTAATCACAAATATCTACAATTAATCAATTTTCAATCTTTTTAATGTTTTTGATTAACAATTAACAATAAAAACTGACAATTATGATAAATTTATAAGGCATATGGGGGTGAGTTAGGGCGTTGGTTGTGGGGGCCTGTTGGGGGCAGGTTAGGGGGCCGGTTGCGGGCCCGGTTGGGAGCCCGGTTGGGGCCCCCAGTTGGGGGCCCCGGTTGGGGGGCCCGGTTTGGGGCCCGGTTGGGGGCCCGGGTGGGGGCCCCGGGTGGGGGGCCCGGTTGGGGGGCCCGGTTGGGGCCCCCTAGCGAGGTTCCCAACCGGGGCCCCCAACCGGCCGGAATTGATTTTAATTGATGCGTCAAGTGATGATGATCGACGCGTCGCAATTGATGTAATTGCAATTGATTTCAATTGAATTGATTTTTTAATCTGATTGAATTATTGATTGAAATTTAATTGATTAACGCCCAACACTGAGGGAACACCGTACTTTAGGGCAGTCAAAAAATATATGGTCCACGTTTCCTTCGTCTAGACCGCATTCACACAATGAGTTATCTTTTATCCTAAGTTTAGCCAAATGAATAGGAGTACACGCGTGACCTAAGCGAAGCCGGCATATTGTTGACGTAGTTTTTTTATCTGCTGTACGGAATTTGAAAAACCATGGTGTTGTAGGAATTTGGGGTTGGATGTCCGCAAAAAATTTGCCCTTTTCTTTTTGGGATATCTCCCAATACTTAGAGACCAACGATCGCGAAGAAGGGATTCTGGGAGTAGGCAAAGGTTGCGAGGAAACTGATTGAGCGGGGGAGGAAGTTGAATGAATTTAATAAAGCTCTGAAGAAGGCAGGGTTTACTGTCCATGTTCCGAGAATCGAATAAGTCTAAGAGAAGATTTAATTTAGGAAGAATTGGGTGGTTTGAATTTTGAAGCAGTTTAAGTGTTATACTTCATTTCAATCCATTTTGAACAAAAAGTAAACAACATGTCACTGACCTCACCATAGTCGGTTTAGTGATGTCCAATTGTAACACCAACTATAAATCGATTAATTAATTGAATGAATCGATTTGTTAAATTGATTCATACTAGCGGTTTTCCTTACATAACCTATATAAGCATATTTAATTTCAGTTTAAATCCTGCTTCAAATCCTGACACTTAGATTCTCGTTCGGTTGTGATTGAAATGTTCGATTTAATAATCGATTACTAAACTCTAATTGAATGAACCGAATGATTTTTTTCGAACAGCGCTATGGAACCATAGGTAAGTACACAAATTAGAAAGATATAGTGGCAAGTCATATGCCGCGTTCTCGTTCTCATGCCGCGTTCTCACATTCGTGCGTTAGGCCATGCGAATAGCGATGCGATTCACGATGCACATGTGTAAACGGTCACTTCGCTATCGTGAAGTTAGGCACGAGTAGCGTCGCGAAGTTAAATACGAGTGGCGACGCGAAGTTACTTTTTGTTTTTCTTATTTCGCCACTCGTATCTAACTTCGCGACGCTACTCGTGCCTAACTTCGCGCGATGCGAGTCGCGACGCGAATAGCGAAGTGACCGTTTAAACATGCGTGCATCGCATCGCCTATCGCACGAATGTGTGAACGCGTTTCAACCACTCGACACGAATGTTTGTTTTGAAACATTCGTCGAAACAATCGACGATAGTGTAAACGAGGTGTGACACATGCGTGTCATGCATCGCATCGCTATTCGCATCGCCTATCGCACGAATGTGAAAACGCGGCATAATATTTCCCTGACTGACTCATCTCATCATCTTCTCCCAAAAAAAATTGCGGGTTTTTGAAGATACGAGTACAGTTTTTACAACGGTTATTTTTATTTTAAGTATATTATGAAGAAAAAATTAAAGAAGAAATAGTCTTAAAAATGGTTAGAACTATATTCCTTATTTTAAACTAAATTACCAAAGACTTTATCCTGAAAAGTCCACTAATTACGAATTCAAAGTTTTTGTTCAAAGTGATAAAACATAATATGATTTAGAAAGTAAAACATAAATATTGACTCCCGTCGCTTAAAAGACTATGTATTAAACCTAAATAAGTGAACTAAGTTATTTAAGAGAAAGTGGAAACATAATGTATTATAATTAGAACTACGATGGAAAATATTACTGAGGATCTCGATAATTAAACGAAGACATAGCTCAAAGGACTTGTGTCCAAGCCAAAACTACTAATAAAAAAAATCATCATCTATTTTTCTTTACAAGTCAAAATGGGGCTGAATTTAGCTGTCAAGGTGCATCCCGTAGTTTTATTCCAAATAGTGGACGCTTATGAACGCCGAAATGCTGATTCTCACCGAGTTATTGGAACTTTACTGGGTAAGTCAAGTATAAGGCCGTTGCCGCCATTTGAAGCTTGGAAAAGATAGGTCGCAAGCTCCAACGTCATGTGGCTCAGTCGCCACTATTCATTATCATTTCGATTATGTTCTACATGATTGGCCCACTGTAATACAACATACCTCACTCATACACAATTTGCAGATTATAATTAGGCATCACAAGATTTTGTTTAATGCGTTTTGAGGTTATGTTATGGTTGGTGTGACTGCAGGCACGGCGGATAAAGGCGTGGTGGAAGTGACGAACTGTTTCTGCGTGCCGCACAAAGAGCATGCGGACCAGGTGGAGGCCGAGCTTAACTACGCCATGGATGTGTATGAACTCAACAGACGTGTCAATGCCTCTGAGAGCATTGTTGGTGAGTGCACTTCACACACAGACTCATTTATGTGCTTAATCACTTGTATGCTTAAGCACAATAACTTCTGTATCAAAAATATGACTATTAATCATTATAGTCATACAGGCTGTATGGTTTGCATACTTCCTTTTTGTGGAGAGCACTTTCGGTGCAACCAATTTATGTTAGTTCAGTTGACATTATAACGCAGATTGGTCACATTAACATCTATTGTATATAACTTGTGTTTTAAACTTTCAATAAATCTTTAAATTTTCTTCTTTTCAATTAAACAACTTTTCAAAAAAACATCTGCGATTGTGTGTCAACTCACCCCAACTTACTGCAACTTTCAACAAACTTAACAAACTGCAACCGAGATGTCCAAGGTCATACACAGGCAATAGGTAACAGTCAATTAAACTTGTCTGGAAACTACACAATCAAACACCAAATACAGAAAAGTTTTCTGACAAACTGTCTCCTTTATTAGGTTTAATAACAATTATGTCATGTTCAGACAACAGGACTTCATTTGTTTCTCAAGAGTTTGAAAAGTTTTGTTTGCTAAATAGAATAATACTAATAATACTTTGCCTACCTACCACTCAGCTCTTGCATAGGTTGGCCAAACTGAATATTGATGCTCAGGGATGTACGGATGACCTAGAGATGACAATTCGAGGGCACTGCTAAAGTAAACTATATCATCCCTTATGTAGGAGCTCTTGATACAATTTCTGCGTGGTGTCAAGATAACGAATTATCTATTAATGACAAAAAGACAACCATTGTCCCCATATGGTGGCGTATGGCACAGTGTTGGGGTCTAAAATCAAAGATGATTCTCCGGATATACAAGGCAATTGTTAGGCCTATAGTGACTTAATATGCCTCTGTTGTTTGGAGTGCTAAAGTTGGCCAAATAACCACTATTGCCACATTGGGTAGTCTACAGTGTATCATGTGCCTGCTAGCAACAGGAGCCATGTCTACTACAACTGGGGCGGCTCTGGGAAAGGGAGAGTGTGATCCTGCGTTGGGTTCCAGGTCACTTGGACGTCAAGGTTAATGAGACAGCAGATGAACTGGCAAAGGGTGGTGCTAGGGAGGCCTTCATTCATCCTGAGCCTTTATAGTGATAGGTCACAGCCTGGCCAAGCTCACTCTGCTGAATGAGAGCACACATATCTTCTGAGATGTGTGGCTGCAGACTAAAGATCTTGAGCATTCAAAAGCCCTGATAGCTACCAGCACCAAGCACTGTAGGGAAGCCCTGTCACTTGACAGGAATGGCATTAGATTGCTGACTGGAGCCTTAACAGAGCATTGTGGCTTGAACAAGCACATGCCAAATATTGGGCAGAGCAAAAACAGAGAATGTAGATTCTGCCATGAGGTGAATGAAATTTCTGTGCATCTCCTCACCCAGTGCTGCCCTCTAATGGCCGTACGAAGTTCCATACTGGGTAAGGACAGGCCACACCCAGAAGACATAAAAACTGTCAGAGCCAGGAAAGTCCTTCAGTTCTTTAATGCTTTTAACCTTGGCTCTGAACTGTAATTAGTGGTCAGTCAATGGTTGCAGTGATGATGGGCCGCATAGGCCCCGAGTGAAGCGACCCTAATAATAATAAATACATAGAGTTCATTGAGAGTGGCACTAAATTGCGTAAGGTACACAACTCTAAGCCTTCAGCTAACGTTAGTAAATTTTTTTTGCCCGTAACGTAGACATTCAGGAACCGACTTGTTATCATCTTTGTCATAATATTCATGAACATTCGACATCTAAAACTCATACTGACAATTTTATTATTTTTAATCAGAATATACAAGGTCTTTGTAGTAAATTAGATCTTTTAGAGGTCACTTTTAAGAAATTATATGACGACGGCAATGAGGTTGATATAATAAATATGCTTTAGTGAAACATTTGTAAAAAGAGGGTCGGAAACTAACATAAAACTTAGTAATTATAAATTAGCGGCAAGTTATTGTCGCGAAAACTAAAGGGGGCACATGCATTTTAATACAAAGTGTTTTAGACTTCAAACCCCTACCTATAGTTTCGAAATTGGCATAAACTAAACACTTTACTCCACCATCTGTCCGCCAAATTCAAATATAAAAAAATCGTCACTTGCGGTAATTGGAATGTCAACATATTACAGGAAAATACAGCTACCAAAGATCTTCAGAGCATTCTTCAAAACTATAATTTTAACATTCACATAAAATCACCAACTAGGTTAAACTCGTGTATCGACTTAATCGCCAGTAACATAAAATTAGTAAAAGCAGGCGTTCACATTCTGACCCTTTCTGACCACGAAACTGCACAAACGTTGACTTTGAGCATAGGGAGGGAAAAAGCTATCACCACTTGGTACGAACAGTGGCGAGACTATAGAAATGAAAATATTCAAAAGTTCTGTGAATGCATTTCAGCTCTTTCCTTTTCTGATATTTTAGGCTTAGACAATGCAATTCAGGCTTTCAACAACTTTTATGATTTAATACGTCTATTTTATGAACTATGTTTTCCAATTCTCAGAGATAAAATTAACAATAGGCCAAAAAAGCTGCTCTGGCTAACAAAAGGACTTAAAAAATGCTGCAAAACAAAACGATTACTATATTTGAAATACAGAGCATCAAATATTAATAAACAGTTAAATACAAATAAATTTAAAATGTATAATAGTATCCTAAGAAAATGTATCTTAAAATCTCAGAAAATCAATAATAATCTTTATATCCACAATAATAAAAACAAATGTAAAGCGACATGGAATACCATTTCATCTACAATTACTAACAATACCTGTAAAAATGACGTAAAACATATACGACATAACAATATGACATACTCAAACCCAGATGACATTTGTAATATTTTTAACAATTATTTTATAGATTTGTCAAATAAAAATAACCTAACCCAACTTGACTAAAAACTGCATGACATACCCATCTAATTCATTGAATAAAAATTCCCATACAATATTTTTGGAACCGATAAATGAGAAGGAAACTTCTAACATAATTATGTCTTTAAAAAACACCAAATCCAGTGACTATGACGGTATAACAACTAAAATACTTAAAATGTGTGCCTCTTATATCTGTCATCCGCTTGCACATATTATAAATTTATCGTTTAGTGATGGTCTTTTTCCAGAACAGCTAAAAACTTCTGTTGTCAAACCCCTGTATAAAAAAGGCGATAAGGAAAGCCCAAGTAACTATAGACCAATTACATTAATCCCGACTCTATCCAAACTATTTGAAAGGGCTCTGCATTCCAGAATAAATGTATTTTTAGAGAAACATAAAGTAAATATCACTCTCAATTCGGATTTAGAAAAGGTAGTGCTACAACTCTTGCATGTTTTGAGTTTTTGCGCATTGTAACGGAAAGTATAAACGTCTCTACTCCTGTAATGTCTTTCTAGATATGACTAAAGCCTTCGACTTTGTAAATCACTCAAAACTCCTTTACACTTGGAATACCGCAAGGTAGCGTCTTAGGTCCGTTACTGTTCCTACTCTACATTAACGATATCCTATATGCTATTGATCATAATTGTATACAATTTGCTGACGATACAATTCTTATAATAAAATGCCAAAACAAAGCGACTTTTAACACTGACGTAAATAAAGCACTGACAGACGTAATAAGTTGGATGGACATCAATGACTTGAATATTAATATAAGTAAAACCAAAGTTATGACATTTAAATCTTACAACTCAAATCCCATACCGGTTAAAATTAATTACAACTCTGATACAGTATATGAAGTAGACACATTTAACTTTCTTTGGTTAACAATCGACAAGAACCTTAACTGAATGGAACACATCGAACAGATGTGCATGAACCTAAACAGATTTGTTTACGCTTTACAAAGACTAAGGCAAACTGTCTCGCGAGAAGCTGCGTTGACGGCCTATCACGGCTACGTTTCATCCGTGCTCAGCTACGGTCTTGTACTATGGGGCAACTCAGTAATCTTAGAAAGAGCGTTTAAAGTCCAGAAGAAATGTATTCGAGCAATTTGCGGTGCGTGGTTCGATGACAGTTGCAAACCGCTGTTCAAAAGGCTGAACATATTACCTTTGCCATGCATGTACATTAGGGATATCTGCGTATTTGTCAACTCTCATCCTCAATATTTTAAAACACGCGGTGGAGTCATTCAAAGGCAAACTAGAGCAAAAATTATGAATCTCTTATACCAACCTCGTTGCCATAAAGTAATTTATAAGAATAACTGCTTCAACATGTGTATAATTATTTACAATAAATTACCAAACGAAATTAAATTGTTACAAGGACATACTTTTAAATTAAAATTGACAAAATGGCTTTTGACACATTCCTTCTATAGTAATAAAGAATACTTAGAATTTACAAATTCATTACATTAATTAGAAACTATAGAGACTAAATAAACATTAATATTTGCACATCTGCTTTCAGGTTGAATACAATGTACCTAATTTTACATAAGATCTTTGTAATTACCGTATTCTGGCAAATAAACGTATTCTATTCTATTCTATTCTATACTACTCAGCTAGTAACGGTCAAGCTGAAAGCTATATGAAGTTAGTCAAGAGAGCTATAAAATCAAGTCTGTTGTCAGGGACAAATTTGTGAGATGTAAACGTAAAACCGAATACATTTTTATTTAGTTATAGGAACTCTATACATTTAACAACAATTCACCTGCTCAGGTTCTCTTCGGCAAAAACTTTAGATGTAGATTGGATTTCATGAATTACCAATTATCACCAACCACCAGTATCACCAACTCCTCCACTCTCCCCAACCAACTCCTCAACAAAACAGAGTTTGCAGGTTAAATATTATCGCAGCAGTAGAAATATTGAGATCAGTGATATAGTCAAAATGTGTTTGTGTGTGTGTCACGAGCGTGGTTTGTTATACCGCAATCGATGGACGACGCGCAGTCAGCAGTCACGCGAGTGGGAAAGGAAACTACA